CACAGGATAGTCAACTGCTGCAGAGGATGAGAATAATGAGCCAAGAACTTGTTAAGGGAATTTATGACCACGAAGGTCACTGGTGACCTTCAAAAATGGTTTCACTAGGGTGCAAGGGTGTGTAGCAGACACTGTCGATCCCCGCCCCATATGCCTTTGGCCCATTTGAACTCACCTGCAGCTGCAGCAGATAATTCCCCCATGCAGAAGCTTCTCACCTTGAACACCTGTGTCAATCTGTCTGTCCTCTCAACCCGATGACTTTCCTTATCTCCACAGGAGCTTGATTGGCCTCCAGTAGTATCAATCTGGATGTGTGGGGGAGTTAACGTCATGGAGGTAGCAACTCTTAACCAATCGAGTATGGGAGTGGATAGATAAATACCACAGTTTCTCAGATCTCTAGGGAGATGGTTCTGAAACATGATTTTCCAGCAGAGTGAAGCTCTGGTTGCCCACAGTGGTAATCAACAACACACCTTTTATCAACTTTTGTCCTTCCCCCATCTCACTTTTCCATTCCCTCACTTATGCTTCCTGGGATCATCTCCCTAATAAATTATTTGCACCAAGTCTTTGTCTCATGGTCTGCTTTTAAAGGAACTAGTGCTAAGACAGGTCAGTAGTCATGTTGCAAGAGTTTGTCAGGACAAATACAAGAAACAAGTGCATTAACACCAGAGTGGAAGGCATTTTAAACCAGCCTTGTGAATAACCCCTCATCCACCTTCCCAGGCAAGTAATGGTGTGAGCCAGGCAGGTAATCTAGTGATTAAAATCACTGATTTCTCCTCAGATAAGGGAAAGTCTTTGCGGGGCAGGTCCACCTGAATGTCTCCAAGCAGCAGCACCCCCACCAATCTACTTTAACACTTGTCCCCACACACAAGAGCAGACATTGTCCCAGGAAATGAGCAAAGCTTGAGGAAGAGGATAAAGTTTGCCGCCTTTGGTTTATATCTCTGGAGAGAGTCTCTGGGTGCAGCTGAGGTTGCTGCTATATATAACACAGAAGCACAACTAATAAAACTGATTGTAAAGCACTTTGCAGATCCAAAGTGCCACATAAACGCTAACTAAGAAAATTAATCTTAGCTACACAGAACACACGTTGTGAGACTGAAGTGGTTTTGAGACTGTGCCAGGGGAAGGGGACCATGTGACATCTCTCACTCCCACTCTCTGCTTTCATTCTCTCCTCAACCATGTGCATACACACTCTCGAGCAGCATGCAGACACTCCCATATGCACCCCTGACACACAGTGACATCCCCAACACATATATCCCCATATGCATACTCACCACCCCACATACTTATGTACCCAGAGACACCTTCATGGCCATGCATACACACCCAGATGTGCACACATGCAAACATATACCCACAAGCGCTCACATACATATACAGTCTCTCAGGTACATGCCATCTTCTAAATCCTCCTCAGATGCCGTCTTATACATGTGGCCATAAATGCATCCCCTGAGAACCACACACACACAAAGCACCCTCCAACATACACTGCATCATGCATGCATAGTCTCATACATGGCATTCATACATATTTCAGTATCTCGAATCATTGTTTGAAATTCTTCACACTCTCCTTGTACTAAAACCACACATCTGTGCCCTCTGTCACCTGACTTCCTCTCACTATGGACCTAGTTTACTGCCCCACCAACTCATAATGGATTTACCTACACGATTTGCTTTGGCCAATGGAATGTTAGCAGATGAGACACAAAGAAGGTTGAAATATGCTTGTAAGCTTTGGATTATTCTCTTGGTCTCCAGTGATCTGCCAGGAACAGAGCATGCCTCTTCAGCCTGGGCCCCAAGATGGACATGGAGCAGATCTGAACTTCATGTGCAGCATGCAGCTCAGCCCAGCTGAACCCACAGCCCAAAGTACAGCTGCCCAGCTGAGCCCAGCCTAGACCAGCCCCATCATGGTTGACCCACCATCTGTTAGCGTGAGACTAGACCAGGGATCATTTGGTTTATGGGCCAAATCTGACCCATGCCTATTTTTTGTAAATAAAGGTTTAATAAAATACAACCATGCCCATTTATTTATGTGTTGTCTCTGGCTGCTTTCATTCTATGAGGGTAGAGTTGAATAGTTGCAACAGACACTGTATGGTCAACAAAGCCTAAAATATACACCATCTGGCCCTTTACAGAAAAAGTTTTCCAACCCCTGGAATAGATACTAGTTGTTGTAGGGCATTCAGTTTGGGGATGGCTTGTTACACAGCATTATTGTAGGAGTAACTGACTAATTCATATATATGAATACAAACACTGCAGATACTTTCACACATGCATATGTTTTTGTTCTCATGTACTTATAGGCACACATTTCATCTCATAAACTTACCCACAGACATCCTAAACAGATACAAACACTGATAGCCTTTCATGTTCTGCAGGCACATGTGCCCACACATATCCTCATACACAAATTGACATATAGACTTACATATGAGTATACAAACATACATAAATACACACATACATACACCTATGATATTCTCACATAAAGACATGCACACAATGTCCCTACAACCACTTGTACATTCATCCACATGCTACTTATGTATTTAAATGTCTACGTGCTCCCATACACAAATGAACACATGGGCACATGTGCATGGTTTTCAGTTCCACTTCAGCTTTTTTTCCAGTTGTATATGAAGCTTGAGTAATCCAATAAGCCCAGTGTCTTCCGTAAGATTTCTCTGGGCTGCAAGCCTAGACCTCAAAGAACTAGGAACCTTGACTCTGTTGGCCACAAGCACCAACCCCAGGAAGGAGGAAATAGGCTGTCTAACAGTTTGTACACAGTGGCAGCCTGACTCCAGTTTTCAATGCTGAGAGCAGAAAAAGATGCATGACCACCAAGTGGACAGAGAGACTGCCTGTTCCACAGATCTACATTACCTCCTGTCCCAAAAACCCTCTGTCCCCAGGTTTTCTTTCTTGGAGCACCTTTAGCTCGCTCTTTATGCCTCTTGGCTTGTCTTCATAACTACGCACCCTTTGGCAGCTCCCTGGTAATATAGCCTTACCCTGCCAGATATTATTCCCATGAGTATGTTTCACCAGAAAATAAGGTCTATGATGGCATAGATTTTCATTTATTTTGTTCATGGCTACAGCCTTAGCATGTAGAACACTGTCTGGAAGACAGTAAGGGTCTTAATTAAAAACTGCTAAGTAAATGAATGAGTGAACAAAGGTATTGCTTCTGCAACAGGATTAAAAATTCCTTGACAGCATGGGCTTTTTCTCATATATATATTAAATTCCCCACAAACATTTACAGTTCACATAAATACAGGAAGGAAAGAAGATAGTAAAAAAGGAGAAGAGTAACAGAAGAAAGAAAAGGGAAGAAAATGAAAAGGGATGGAGAATGGAAACATGAAGAAAATAAGAAAGAAAACATGAAGGAGGAAAGGAAAAGAGAGAGGGGGGAGGAGGAAAGAAGGGAGAGAGGGAGAGAGAAAATGAAGAACAGAGTTTGGATTCTCAGCCTATCTCTACCAGCTGTATAGCCCTGCACGTGTTATTTAACCTTTCTGAGGTTTGGATTTCTTTTGCAAATTGAGGATATAACAGTCAATAACGCAGACTTGTTCTGAGGATACAATGTGATGATAAAGACAAAGCTCTACACAGTGCATGGAGTGCAGTAATCGCTAAATAAAGGGCAGTTGCTGTGAGGATGACATTCAAGACAACTGTGGTGGTGACAGCAATTGACAAAGGAAAGGGATGGGGAAGAGGAAGAGAAAGTGTGAAAAGCTGGCTAATTTAGAACGAGCTCCTTCTTAAGATACTCTTCCATGCCACCACCCACCTGTGGCCTCATCTTCCTTGTTTGTGCCGTTCTCCAGACCCGCGGTTCCCAACCCTAGCTGGGTGTTAGAAACCCCTCCTGGGGAGCTTTAAAAAATCCTGATACTCAAACCACAGTCCTGACAACAGTAGCTGGCAGCCCTTGGGAAAGGCTCAGTGATACTGGCTGTTATCTCCCGTGATTACCGTAGGAACACATCCTCTTGCCTCCTTTGCAAAAGCTGTAGAGGCAGAAGAGGTTTCTTCCCTATAAGCTCCTCCAGCACCCGCCACTCCCATCCCTCAGAACCCACATTGGCTTAAATAAAATATAGCACCAGAGTAAGCCCTGTTTGTCAAGCACAAACGAGAAGTCAAACATCAGATTTTCCACGGATGGAGAGCAGCCAGCTGAGCCCAGACAGGAATATGGATGCTTCTCCGAGGCTCTGGAACGACCATGAGAATTCACAACCTAGATAGGCAGAGATGCCCTGAGCCTTGATAAACCAGAGCAGCTGGGAGGACCTCTGCCTGGGCTGGGGAGGGAGGAATTTAGGATCTTGATCACATTCAACTCCAATTACCATGTTCTACTTTGCAATGGAGGCCCGATTGGACGTCTCATGTAGAAAGTGCAGAGTTTGAATTCTGGGGACCAGACCAGCAGGGCAGTTAAGCACATGGGGTTTGGGAGTCAGCCAGACCTGGGATCAAATACCAGCACTGCCAGTTTTTAGCTAAAAGACCTTGAGTGAGTCACTTTACCTCTTTGAAGCTCCAGTGCCTCATCCGTAAAATAGCATAATAAAATATCTTCCTTGTAGGGTTGTTTCAAGGACTAATAATGAAATAGGTTGTTTTGTAAAGTGCTTGTCATATAGCAAGCCCTCGATAACTGGACCTAATTCCTCACTGCAATAGCGTCAACATTTATGGATTTTTTTGTTAAATATCTAGAGGACCTGGACTACTTCTCTCTCGCAATCTTTTTTTCCCTGTTTCTTCTCTTTTATTGTGTAACATTTTAAAAATCCACATGTTCAGTCTGCTGTTTCTCATCAGTTTTGTTCTTCTTTCCACATAAACACATACACATAAAATAAAACCATTCTAATGAAAAACAATTTCTTTTTTTTTTTATGTTTCTCTGATAATGGAATTCATGTAAACCTTTGAATGATGAAAATGAATCCTATTCAATTTTTTGTAGAGTATTTTCCCACACACACACAC